ATTCGGGTATTCCAATATTTCAAATACCTAAGAAACTATTTAATCATTAGAAAAATTTGTATCTCATGTTTAAGTTTGGCTAGGACTTTATAATTAATTAAATATTTAATAAATAAATAAATTTAACAAGTGGGTTAATAATTATTACTTAAAAACTAGTTTTTTGAGACACCCTTACATGTAATGATTTAAAGTGTTTTAATATTCGAGTAAATGCCAATGACCGCAGCAGTCTACACACCTTAATAAAATTAAAAAAAAAAATAACAAAAAAAAAATATTCAAATAAGTTATAATCGATTTCCACCTATATTCGAATTATTCGTAATCGATTCTCAGCCTTAATAATTATATTGAACCAAATTTCTTTATAATTTGATTATTTTAGAATGGTGTGTTATTTAATTGTGTGTATGTTTTTTTGTGTTTATTTATGTGTTAATTTTTTTGTTTAGAACATTGATTAGTAAAGGAACATTTCTTATAAAATTCTTTTCACTTAAGTTCCCAATTTCCAACAAATTATTTTGTTACTAGGTCTACAACAAGGTTTGTAAATATAAGGTATTTTTTTAAAAATTACAAGAATTATGGTTAAATTATTGATATATATATATATATAATCTAAATAAAATAAATCTACAAAATGTTTGTTATAATAACAAACTAATTATTCAATTAGTTAACAGATTACAATTAGTTGTAACTAAACATAAAGTTATAATCTGGTTCATATTTGGTTAAAATTAACTAATATTTTTTTACTGTATATTGTAGGTGGAGTCTTCGAAAAATAGTATTGATCCCAAGTAAATAATAAAAAAGAATGGGACCTGTAGGTGGTGCGTCACCTTAAAAATAAATACGTTTCCTGCAGTAATTAAAGGCTTTTCAATTTACGGTTAGATTTTAATCTGGTGGTTATTTGATCTGGAAAGTTTCTTTATTACCTGGATGTCTCGGTGAAATTGAAACTTGGTTTTAATTTACTTTTTCAATCAATTAATGTTTGGCCAGATGCTGTCTCTTACAGATTTTTCGATTGCTCGACAAATATTTTGAAGATGATTCAGATAATTTTGTTTAACATAGGTACTTTGAAGGAAATTAAGTATACAAAATTAAATGTTTCATAGAATATCACGATTTTTTTTTATTGAAATGTAGTTTTTAAATTTTAGGTTCCGTAACTTTACTTGGTGGTGATAACGAATTTGAGGAATATTTTTCATAAACAAAAATAAAGGACATATAAAACACCTATATTCAAAACTACAGTCTCTATAGATACAATAACATATAGGGTGTCACCTAATAAATTGTCATCCTTTGGGGGAATGATAGTACACGCCAAAATAAGAAAGTTTTTCCTCTATCATTTTGCGTTAAAGCTACTGTTTTAATCAAAAAATAATTTTTTTTTGACAAAACCAGGGAGCCACCTATCCTATATATCATCATTATTTTTACCTCTAAAAACAATGATATTATTTATCCAAGCACAAAAGAAACAGGTAAGCACACAGTGTATTATGTAATATCAAGCAAACTTTTAAACTTATTCAAAATCGGTCATTAGGTACTTTGTTATCATTGATTACTGACAGTTCAGTTCTTATTGTGGTTTCTTTGGGGCTACATGGACAGTTTAGTGTACCACAGCGAAGTTGACACATTGTACAACTTGTCACTGCAGCGGAAGATGAAATCCGAAATCATCCGGTTATGATGGCAAGATCGACACATCATAATTTTCTACCCCGCTGTCAACTTTGTGTGGATAATAACAGCGATTTTGTGATACACTTTAAAAAATAGCTACATGAGCATCAATCGACGTAAAAAGGACAGGAAAACCACGGCAACCTCGAGATACCTTACCTACAATAAAAAGTATTGTTTTATTCAAAGTACCTAAATCATAAAGATACTTTTTTTGTTTTTAGTAAATTTTTTTTATTTTGGTAATATTTGACACCTACAAATAATAGTAATTTTTTTTAAATTAAATTTAATTGCCCCTTTTGTCAAAATTAACAGTCCATTATAATGGACGCTATGCGCAATAAAATAAAAAAATATAAAAATATAATAAAAACAGGTTATTTATAAAAAGTTTTAAAAACAAAAAAGCTACTATTTAGTATGGTATAATTTAAAACACTCCTTGGGGTGTAATCCGACATTTCATTTTTTTGTGCAATGCTTTCATCTCCTATGTGTTTGACTATACAAAACAATATGCCCTGTGTTAACAAACCTCAATCATCGGTTGTTGTGGTGGACGATCGTCCCCTGGATGAAGGTATTTCATATTTTTGTATACTTTTGTTTAGTAAATACTTGGCAATAATTAAACCTTCTAAAAATAAGTAGATTTGAAAAGTTGGGATCTTTGGGTAAAAGCTTCTTCATCAGAAGCCAGGCATTGCAAACAGATACATCAAGTAAATAAGCTAATATCGGCCAATACCGCCACCAAATTGTCTTATCTACTCCCTCCATACCAAAATTGTAGGCTGCAATCATCTCTGGTTGATCTATATGTTTTTTCGATTTGGACTAAAAAATTGGATGCCACTAAAACAACCTTGTTAAAAATTATAATGGTGTCTTGTCCGAGAATGCTTTTTCAGAAGGGGCCCTTGGGTACAAGATTTATTTTCAATAAGGTATATTTTCAGTGCAGTCAGACATTTCGTTTCTTTTTATAAGGGCATAATAAACACTTGAAGTAGAGGAAGATAAAGTATATGCTGTGTTGACTTTTAGATTTAACAGGGAAATTTTGTCATCTTCATCATAATCTAAATAATAGGTGGTTTGGATCTGTTGCTTCTTCGCTGTCTTCCTCTGTCTCAGCTCTTTTCTTATCTGGAGGTACAATGTAGGTAAATAAATGGTAGAAGGTTGATTATCATTAGAGTCTTCTTCAAGTGCCCCTAATAACTAATGTAAAGATAATCTGCAAAATAAACCGTTAAGAATTATGCATATAGTCCATTATAATGGATCAAAGAAAAAATGCATAATTTGACAGGAAAAACACTATTTCTAAAAAGCAATTACAACAGAAAACGATTGTGTATGCATGTCTAAAACTAAAACTAAATGCACAGACGCCCAAGAAAACTCTTTCAAGTGAAAAAAGCTTACCCTTTGCATCGTTTGGAATACATATTGGGATCCATTTTAAACCAAAATAACACCTTGCGACAAAATTTGATAAGTTTGTTTCAAAACAGTTTAAAAGTAAGGTTATGAGTCGGTTAAACGCGGAAAATAGGATAAATTTGATTACAAGTATTTTGGCAACCAATAATACATGCGTTCAATTTAATAATTTTTTATTTAAAAAAATGGCACTTATTTAAAAAAGATAGAGGAAAACCTTTCTTATTTTTGCGAGTACTATCATCCCATTAAAGGAAGACAACTTATTTGGTGTGGTAAACTATTATCACAATGAACAAAAAAAAAAGATTTTGATCGGACAATGTTTGGAGGCTCCGCCACCTCTAAAAGTGCAGATTTTATCTTCTGAACTTTAAAAAGGTGTCGAAACCTCTAAACATTGCCTGATCAATATAATTTTTCTTTTCGTTAGTTGTGGTAAAAGGACACCACTTTCTCCAATATAGGCATATTAAATGTTTACCATCAAGTGTTTTGCTTAGGCAATATAGGCATATTTATTATTATGTATTTATCATGTATTTCACTCCACCCTAATGAACACGACGACAAAAGCTTTTTTCTAAACTTTTTATAAAATAGGCAAAACCAAAATAAACTGATTTGGCCTTTGACAATCAAGCAAACAATCGAGCAAAAAGATAATAAATATCGGCATGGGCAGCCTCACAATCGCTAATAACAATCGAATTTGCATAGGTAATGGGTGTATCGTTTACAGAGAATAGTTAATCTATAGTTGTTATGGCCCGAGTGCATCAATAGTGTCGGACTGTGTCGGTCCAATGGAGACAATGCGAAACAATGCTGCCACACATGCACATTGTTCGCTATTGTGTGCAGCGCCATCTATCTACAACAATGCGGGGAAATGACAACTCGATTCGCAGGAAATGGCACTACTGCACTCGAATGGGATGCATATCCAGCCAGAATCGACAACTGCTCTCTATGCACAGTACGTAGGTACTGGTACACTACTGTTTGTTACAAAACAATAATTATTGGAATTATTTTACGCTCTGTACGCGATTTCAAACGTTTTGTCGCATATTGTGTTTCAAAGTAGCAAATGCGTTTAATAGTTCCAGGATTTTAATAATCATGTTGTCAAATCTAACGATAATTTCTTGTAAGATCATCAAGACATTTAGAAAAACCAACGAAAGATACAAAAAAACTAAATAAAATTGTGTAGACAAAAAATTATATATTTTCAAGTATAAAACGCATTTTATATCTCTATTCAAAATACAAATGCAAATTTAATTTCACTAATGCATTTGAAAGTGTGGCAATAAAAACTCATTTCATTTAAACGTTATGTCCTTTTTACACCAACACTATAATAATATAAAAGTAATTTTGTTTGATTATAAAATATCAATGAAATCTACATAAAATATAAAATAATAATTACCCTCTAATGCGCTTATAATTTTTCACACATTATCATCAAAATAACCGAAAATTCCACAAGCTTCCGTTGAATACATTGTGACCAGTGGCATTGACAATAGTGCAAATTTATTGTAACACATTTCAAAGAGTTTTTATTATTATTAAATAAACACATAAAACAAACAATTATTTGCCAACAAAAACATGTCACACACCAGTAATGATAATTTTATATAACAAGTTAATTTTTCTGCTAGTTCTTATTGTCAGCCGCTCCCCATAGGTTTGGATACCATCGAACAGTAGTTAGTCGGGCCCAATTTATCGGTGAATACAATTTTAGATTCAAACAAAACATTTTTTAAGCGACAATAGAGCCTATTGTCGATGGTATAATAAAACGTAATTCAGTGTTTACCCAGCGCTAAACAGCGTTTCCTTTTATCTGCATCAGTTCAAATCAGTGAAATGTCAGAGTCTGTACATATCAAGCGGCCAATGAATGCCTTCATGGTTTGGTCTAGGATTAGAAGGAAGAGGATATCAGTGGATTATCCTAGGCTTCATAACTCCGAAATATCAAAAATATTGGGGGCTGAGTGGAAAGTATTAAGTGACTTGGAGAAGAGGCCGTTCATTGATGAGGCTAAGAGGTTGAGGAACCAACATATGGTGGATCATCCTGAGTATAAGTATAGACCAAGAAGAAAACCTAAGTTTGAGAAAGAAGGTCCTAAATCGAGTAATGTGAGATATCCAGATCCAATACAGACAGCTATGAATAGAGCTTTCTTTACTTCAGGACATAATGGTATGTACTTTTTTTAATATGCTTAGATAAAAATACAAACAATCATTTTTAGAAAATTATGTAGATCATAAACCACAAGTTATACCAACATATCCGATATCAATAACACTACCACCACAAGAACAATTATCACCAAACAGCAATTTTCAATATCAGGATTATGGTGTCCTAAGACAAAACCAGGATACATTTGTTAAGCAGGAAGTGATGAAAATAACAGAATATAACCCTCTACCTCCATATACGGCTTTACAGGGTAGTTTACATCACAGGGCATTGTTAAGGGCTGCCTCAGTATATGCTTATCATGATTTCGCCACCAATGGGCATATACCAATATACTTTACATGAAAAAAAGTTGTTTTTTGATTAAGAATAAATTTGTCGAAATTATAATTTCCTATAGGTTTTTTTCACCAATAATCTTGGAAAAAGAACTAACTTAACCAAACAGTTTTGAACCACATGTTTTAACCACAATGAACAATTTAATGGACCGAATTGCATTGTGATAATCTCAAAAATTGGAAGAGCTTGATTGGTAATTTTCAATGCATACACTATATAGTCCAAACCGTCAGAACACCATTTATATGCAAGACTCTTTAAATGGTGTGAAGTTGGCTTTAAAATCACTTGGTTCAGTTTTTTGGCAAGAAACCACAAAAGTTTTTCACCAATATAAACCATCGATAAATTTTTGAGTTTTTCCATTTTATGTATTTTTTTATTTGGTTATTATGATTTGATTTTTTTCATGATATGAAATATATATTACAATACAATATATTTCTTAATGAACATTTGAATTTAAGGTCTAACTCTAAGTAATAAATTCAACGTCATTCTAAATAAAAATAAATTAACAAATTATTTTTGTTTTCAAACGACCAAACTTTTAAATTTATTCATGCCTATTATGCACGCACAAGTTAAATTAATTAAGTCAGTTTATTTCATGCAACATTATTTATGCCTTTTATCTAGGGACGAACTTCTTAGTTTTACAATAAAAATGCCTTTTGTAAAAAGATAATAAATTAAGAAAGACAAATTGGAAATTAAATCAAACTCACTTTTAATTTACTCGAGCAAATATTTTACGATCTAAAATTTCATATAACAGCTTAGAAATAATGTCCAATTTTATGTCAACAATAAAAAGTTCCCGAGTTTAATATACTAATGAAAGCCGTTATATTTTATTGTGTTTCGTGTTAAATAAACAGAACATTAAATTTCTGATCAGGGGAAATATTTGCCAATTGATTAAACGCGATATGATAAATTTATGGGCTGATTTTATAGCGATGTGTGGCCGACAATTAATTTTGAGGTTCGGATCAATGCTTGTACGAAAAAATAATCCAGTTTTTTATTAGTAGAAATTAATGTAGTTTTTTATTAGAGGAAAGTCGCCTTTTATCGGGTATATTCCTAATATGGGGTAGGCATGTATCTTTGCAACCAAACTAGATACATCTATGTTTTATTGGACAAAACACAACTACTAGGCTCGTATGGATTTCTACTTAATATTAAAGCCATGTACCATTTGTTTTTATTTAAACAAAAATATTTCATTGTTTACTATTTGCCAAACGCATCCTAATATGGGGTACCAAAATATTAACGCCATATTAAAGCCATACGACGACATATGACGTGTGATGCTACTTGGTTATAGGTTATAATATATTTTAATTTGTTTAGTTTAGACTGTCTAAATTAGACATCATATTCATCTTATTTTCATATTTTTTTTTCAGGTACCTTATATTAGGTTACACCTGGACCCCATAATAGGCTACCTGGTAGGCACAGAATTTTTAAATTATTTTGTTACACAAAAATTATAATGTTTTAAGGATTTTTTATCTAGTATTGTCTTGTTTGCATATTAAAGAACCAACGTTGCTAAACTGAAAAATAAAGAAAACTAAATAAAGAAAATAATAATAAAAATTAAAATGGTACCCCATAATAGGTGACTTTCCTCTAGTAAAATTTGGTCTTGGTTTATTTATGTGCTAAATTAACATCAGAGAACTATTTGTTTTGGTCTGCAAGAGCCTATAAAATCTTCACCAATGGGTTAATAATTCTGCCCAAAAAATGGCAATAGTTTATTCAAAATAGTTTATCTACTCCTTTTGCATAATATTGGGTTTTTCCGTGAATAATGATAAACATTACAACGGGAATAATGAAAACATTATTCACGTTGTGGCCAGTGATTGGCCGATTTCAATATTCACTCTGATTTAAACCAAAGAAGGCGATTATAATAAAATTTAAAATTTGTAAAAAGTAAGGTTAGCCATTTAATAGATGTCAGATTTTATTTATTTATTTTAAAATAGGAACGAGCAAATGTTTAATTGAATGAGTGTCTAGAAAACTTTATAAACAATACTTTTTTTACGACAAATACTTATCTAAAAATGATTTAAATTAAATATTTGTATGGAGCGACATCTATAAAACAATAGAGTAACCAACTTGGGAATCTGTGTTGTGGTGAAAATGTCAAATTTGTATATGTAAATCGAAATATATCCCTTGAAAATGGACTAACAACAGTTTTTCACAGTGAAAATGAAGAAAATGTTTTATGGGTACTTCGCGGTGGAGTCTCCACCCGAAATTAAGTTTATTCTAGTTTACTGCCGGCAAAATTAAATATGCCATGTTCATACAAACTTTTCAAATATTGGCGTTGAGAAACTATTTAATACTTTTGTATTTTTGTGTTGATTTAATAAAGTAATTTTCTCATTTGGTATTATTTTACAAGAAAGTTACTTTATTTTAACGATTGCATGGCATTTGACAATTATTAATTAACTTAAAACTAACTTCAGTCAGTCATTAAAACGCCATAAAGCCACTTGTCAATGTGTATTTAAAAGGTCACTTGGTGTCATGGAAACATGTACTATAATAGGCGTTTTAAAGATTGGAGGAGAAAAAATACTATTAGGATTTGTTATAATAATGGGTAGAACATATTTCCATTTTTAAGTTTGAAAAGAAGAATTTCTGGGACTGTCACTGGTAATGTATGGGGGGGTATTATCGTGAAAAGTATGTCATCGCGTGAATCCAATTATTCCGAACAAATCGCTTAGGCAACTTGAGTGTACGGTAATCCAGCTATTAATGTCATAACGCAATTTGGTGCGAGGTGCGACGCCAATTCATCATTCCCAATGCGCTCTAAGAATTAGACGTCGTACACGAGTACGTAGGAAAAATAAATAGTCCGCAGACATTCTCGCACGTCAGAAATCTTAATATGTGCATTAATATGTCACCGGGAACGCGAAATCAATTTATTTTCACCTTTCACACGCTAAAATCGCATTATCATTTCGAGTTGTCGGGAGAATTTATCATGCAAATGTGACGCGCCCGTTACGATTATGCTAACACCACAAACGTCTTCCTTATGAATTCACTCTCTTGACAAAAACAACTAATTAATTAGTTTGCAGTGGATTATTTTCTCGTCCTGGGTTGAATGGTACAATAATTGGCCCTATTTAAAGAATTACACATATATGTGCCTATAGGCCCATGTTACTAAATGTGAGTTTGCACTTTCATCTCTGGGACATTGCTCAATGAAAATGGTGAAACATAGCTGACTTTGACGCAGGAGGGACAAAATTGGATTCCGGGTATAGAAATATACCTGTATTTTTGGACAATATCGCAAGCTTTGACCTTCTGGCGAGGTATTTTGTGATTTGTACAATACATTGAGTGGATGATCCAACATTAAAACTTGTTGCTGGTCAAAGAAACCGAGACCATTAAGGCCGTAGGCCACCAAGGAGGAAGAAGAAGAAGAATAACCTTAAAAGCATATAAAAATATTAAAAGATTGCAATGGATTTTCATCGATACGGATTACCTGGTTTGATGCTCTCAAACATTAATATGGCTCGGGAATTATACTTTGAGGACGATAACGAAGGACAAAATTTGAAAGATCACTGTTCCTTTAATAAGAGACAATGAGTTTCAGATGCATTTTTGCATGAATCCCTATACATTCGAAGACCTACTACAAAAACTTCATCATAATGCTATTGTAAACAACATAAATATTGGCCATACCAAACGGGTTATCCACGAATTAGAAATAGAAGTTATAATAACTGTGTGGTACTTAGGAAATCTGGAGCCTTTTAGGTACGTAAATATGATGATATGGATCAAAATTAATAGTACAATGCTTTTTCCTAAATCAGTAGCAAATAGATTCGGAGTGACCAAGTCCACTTGCAAGAATAGGATTGATTTTACTGGTTAAGTGTGCATCGCCGTGTATTTGTAGCAGTAACACCATTTGTAGGAGTAATTGGTTGCATTGAAAATGAAGCTCCTAAAAAAATCACAATTCTTACATTAACCAAAATAATTACCATCCTTTATTACTTCAGGTTGTCTATATGACTATGGTCAGTTATTATTCACAGATGTGTATACTGGAGAAGCTGGCTCAATCCTTGTACCAAAGGTCAGACCTTTATCAAGGTATCCAAGAGGGGTCAGTTATATATAACACACATTTACTTGGTGATTTAGCCTACAAATTGTATGAACATTTGCTGGTAGGCTTAAAAAAAATTGTATTTTCAGTAAAATAAGAGTCAAAACAGAAAATGCATTTGCCCTGTTAAAGGGTAGATTTCGAAGACTGAAATTGTTAGATTGGACTTATACCGGGTGTATCTGAGAATAGGCGCACCCCTGTAACTTTTTTATTTATAAAGATAGACACATGAAATTTAGCATGGTTAATTAGAATATATAATGGTTTTTGAACTTCCGGTTTCGCCGGAAATGATACCAACTTTCGATTTTTAAATGGAATGCCCGATATATTTTTACATATTTGGAATCCTGAGAAAATTCTGAGTCAGGCAGCATCCTCAAATTGACCTTTTGACGTTTCGTCATCAGAAAATGCATCATAATAAAGATCAATCTAGAGTGCTTTGAACTATTTGAGAAAAACGAATTTTGACAAGTTTAGACTGCTGCCATTTTTCAGGCATTGTGTGAATCCGTTAGAAGAAAATAACGCTCTCTAGATTGATCTTTGGGATGATGCATTTTCTGATGACCAAACGTCAAAAGGTCAATTTGAGGATGCTGTCTGACTCAAAATTTTCTCAGGATTCTAAATAAGTTACAGGGGTGCGCCTATTCTCAGAAACACCCGGTATAATAAATCTTTATCTTAATCTTTTAAATATTTATTAAAGCGCAAAATGAATATATTTATTTTTCACAAATTTGGTATTTAAGAGTAGTATATTATACCTTGATAAGGATGG